CGGATGATGTCACTGAACATCCTAATGCACAGAACACAGATCATGTCCTATGTAAACTGATGAGGGTAATAATGACGACATGACGCGCCACGACGTCAGTCACGCCTGGACGACACTCTACCCCAAAGAGGGTGATAATGCCGACGCGATGTGCGCTGACGTCACCCGCTCTCAGACAACGACTTCATCGTTGTTTGACCCAACATGCTTGGCCGAGGCAGAGGAGAACGACGACCGAGGCTCGCCCATACCCTGCGGCAGTTCGGTTCTCCACGCAACGCCAACGGCAATGTCAGACGCCATCAGAGGTACGATCCTGCTCCTACAGGCAGGCACATCAGGTAACACTAAACTTACCTATAAATACCCCCGAGTTCTAAGCGAGAGGGAGAGGGAAAAAAAACTTCTTCATATGGAACCCCCTCCACATCTGCTAACTTGATCGTCGGAGGGGTCGGGCCGAGCTTCCGACCCGACCTGTGTGCAGGTGCAAGGACAAGGTTGCTTCTTCCCGGCGCTGCGGAAAAGCCTTCCTCTCGACGCAACAGCCCGACCGGACCACCGTAATCGGCCACCTGGACGATCTCGAGGGGGGCCGTGCCAGATCCCCGTCATTCGGACCCCAACCAAGTCGCGTCGTGGCCCCGAGGCCACGGCATAAAGTAGTTTACACTAACAGATTGGCGCTAGAAGGAGGGCCATCCGAATATCGAGCGATCAGCAGATCCACAATGGCGAACCCGTAGCTGTGGGGTTGCGTCCGGTCGGCACCCCGGAACAACATCCCCCACGAGATGAACCCCGAGACGAACGCCCCGTCACGACCTCAGAGTGCTATTAGTGGATATTCAACGACCCGGGCTTGTCACCACCCGACAGTGCCCCCATCGATCCGTCGCCCGTGTCATCCGAGGCCTTTCACGACCTCACCCACCAAGTTAGAACTCTGACCGATATGGTGCAATCTATTATTCCACTTGTCGCTCGTCCGTTGCATCCGCCGGCCGTCCGACCACTGCGACAACAGGAGCCACCCGTTCAAGCCCGCACACCACCTCGGGAGCTTCCCGCTTCGCCTCGGGTCCCATTGGCCCCACTCGGGGATCGAGTGACGGCGAACCCGAGGGGCCACCCAAAACCCGATGCACTATAGTCAGATCCTACCAACTCTCTTCAAGTCCAATTGCGCTTCATCAGCCAACGACTGGACGAGGTGTAGAAGGAGGTTGGCAGGTCGAGGGGAGAGCTTGGGAAGGACGCACACCAAGGATCTCCGTTCACACCTGAGATACAGGATCAGACAGTCCCCCCGAACTTTCGGCTCCTCTCCCTAGACGCTTACGATGGCTCCACCGACCCAGCGGACCATGTAGCTGCTTTTCGTGCCCAGATGGCGCTATACGGAACCTCTGATGCTCTGATGTGCAGAACGTTTCCTACCACTCTGAGAGGGCCGGCACACGAGTGGAATGGCATCTTGAAGACCGGAACGATGGCTTCCTTCGACCAGCTCGTCAAGGACTTCGAGCTCCACTTCATGGCCTATGCACGGTCGAAGCCTTCCGTTGCACTACTCGGACTCAACCAAAGGAAGGACGAGCCCCTCCCTCATTTTGTGAATCGCTTTACAATACAAATCCGGGGGTCGTCGGACGCTCATCCCTCTCTGTTAGTGCAGGCGTTTATGACAGGCCTGCGACCTTCCAGATTCTTCTGGTCCCTCGTGGAGCGACCCCCCACCACAGTACCAGATATGCTCCAGCGGGCTAACCAGTACATCGCGGCAGAGGCCTGGGTGGCCGAGAGGAGCGACTTTTGGCAGTGGGCTCCATAGAAGAAGTCAAGCACCCGCGGTGGCTATCCGATGTAGTCCTCGTAAAAGGAATCTAGGCCCTGCCTCAGTCTCTTCCGAGCGAAGGCTCAGTATCTACCTGACTGCCTCCCGGCTCGCGGTTAGCTCCGGCCTAACCGCCTTCTGTATCTACACGGCTCGGTTGTAGACTGCCCTAGTCCACCTCAGCGCGGCCTGCCCGCCTGAGCCGTGTCCCTCGGTCGCAATCTGCCCGAGACCACCTCTGTGCGGCTTGCCCGCCTGCGTTGTGCTCCTCGACCGCATGTTGCCCGAGACCACACCTGCGCGGCCTGTCGCCTGCGTCGTGCTCCTCGGTCGCATGTTGCCCGAGACCACACCTGCGCGGCCTGCCCGCCTGCGTCGTGCTCCTCGGCC